TGTGTGTGTGTGTGTGTGTGTGTGTGTGTGTGTGTGTGTGTGTGTGTGTGTGTGTGTGTGTGTGTGTGGGGGGGGGCTGAAATCATCGTCTCAAACATATATAAACAAATATTTATTTAAATATTAGTTCAAAAATATTGGCACTTGTGTGATATAAACAGTAAAGGATTGTTGCTACACGAAATTTCTGTCTGATTTTTATTCTTCTTTGTTACATGAGGATTAAACGTCCGTGTTTCACAGATGTTTCCCGGCTTCCTGATCCCGAGATCTTTTTAGAATTCTTCATATTTAAAAAAGTTTCCTGAGATAAACTCTGGTTTTTAAAAACTTCTAAGTCTCGTGTGTTCACATATGTTACTTTAGGCCAAAGTGTCGTATCTCAAAAGGATGAGATAAGTTTGTGTCATAATTCCACGTTGTTGAAATTATATTTTTCCATTATCTGTCGCAGAACCCTGCATCGTGGAGCTGGACGCCACGATGCAGCGAAACATTGCGTTCAGATATCGCCTCTGTTCGCCGACTGGAAGTGTCGAGAAGGTCACAAACAAACAAACATGTGAATGATTAACGAGAGCAAACAGTCGCTGCGGACACTCACTGATCTTCTGCCTCAGAGTCGTCTGCTGCAGCAGCTTTAATTAAAAATAAAACATAAATACTCAGTTTGTTGAGTTTTCCTTCCACAATCACACACACACACACACACACATGTATTATGAAGGAACACATCTGTAAACATCTGCTGAAGTGGATCGGTGTAAATCACTCAGCCTGCCGATGTGTTCAGGGCCGTGTCGTTTCTCTGGTTCAACACAGTCCAACGTTTGATCATCTGTGATCTGCACAATATGGGAAATCAATTATTAACATGATGGGGAGGTGACGGTTGTCACAGCAACAACAGTCACTCTGCGTCCCGCTGAGATGTTTTGTCGACTCATCTCACGTTCTGGAACAAAAGCTCCCGGCTGCCTCTCTCCGCACTTCTCTCAGGCAGCGACAGAACGATGAGCTGACAACCTGCTCGTTTCTCCTGCGTTCGTTTTTAGGTCAAATACTCAGTCAAACCAGAATCACAGCGCAAACATCGAGGTTTTCATTTGAGTTGTGTGATGTGATGTGTCAGTGCCGATCAGGACCAGTTCGGTTTTAACAGTTTAGTCTTTTATATGATTTCATGCTTTAGAAAAAAATTAAATAGATCTTTTTTAATATTTTTCCCCTAATTGTCTAAACATATCTCGTTATCTTTCACTTCTTCATCCTGAGATATTTGATGTCTGCCACGTGTCACACCCGCCCGGTGAGCCTCCGGACATTCTCCGGTGGTTTCATCAACTCGTGCACAACATGTGGGTTCTCGTCAGACAAACACAGGAAACTGACGTGTTTAAGAAACAAATCCATTTTAATATATATACATTGACCACATGGAAATGTGATGATAAAAAGAAAAACATAAAAACGATATTTTCTGAGTGAATAAAAAAAAAACGAGATGAATCAAGATGTCAAAGCTTTTCTATTTACAACACGATGGACAGTGTGTCCGCCACCATCTGAATGGCTCTGAGAGGATCCACGATGTCTTTAAGTTTGTCCTTCCTGAGAACCCAGTCCGGTGCAAACCTGAGAAACAAACACAGGATGGAAATTAACATCACAAACACAAGCATCCGTCCACGTCAGACAAACTCAGTGACACGTGTTGGTACGTACTTGGGCGCAGGTTTGGATTTCCGAGGTGTTGCTTGAACAAAGAAGCTCCCGTTGATGGACGCATTCATCTTCTGTTTGATCACGGTTCTTTCTGCGTCCATCTTCTGTTTGCGAGCAGTGAGGCGGTAAATACTGCGAATCCTCTCCAACACTTTGGGCAACTTCATAACCTCCTAGAGGCGAGACAACAAGAAAAGTTCCACTGCGTTTACAAAACTGTAATTTACCATCATGTCGTTTGAGATTATTTCATCGTGTTAGCATAGCTACGGACCACAGCGCGCCGCTTGTCTTGCAGCAGCAGAGCAAGAAGGAAACAGGCCTTGGTGAAGATGCTGCCGCCTTTTTCTGCCACTTTATCTCCGGCCTTCTCCCGATATCTCTGCAGCAGGTCCAGCAACGTCTCCACAGAGTTTTCCACCGAATACACTGCCTCGATTGTCTTGTGGTACTGAGGAAGGAAAGGAAAAAAGGAGTGAGGCGGAACAAGAAGAGCAGAAGTGAACCTGAGTCTAAACATCAGAGGAGTCTGAGAGGAAATGCTCTGACGTTCAGTGCCCGTCTGAAAACAACAAGCAGCACAAATCCTCCAGTAGAACAACTCGCTGCGAGCTGCTGGCAGGTTCTGACATGAGAGCAGGAAGAACCTGCTGCGGGTGAGTGGTACCTTCGAGAGGTTGAGGAGGATCTGGATGGAGAAGGTGATCACGTCCATGCAGGGGACGCTGCGGTTGCAGCAGCGGATGAGCGTGAAGATGACGTTGGTGGCTCCGCTCTCCACCAGCCGCTCGCAGCACTCTGGTGACAGCCTGGTGGCGGTCTCTGTGAACACACACACACGTTAGCACGACAGCGCGAGTACTGGTCGTTCTTCCAGTTGTTGGAAGAAACGTTACAGTTGCTGTAAATCACCAGGAATGTGAAACGTCTTACCCAGGTTCTTCAGAGCCTCCAGGATGTAAGAGAAGTGTTTGTATCGCAGGAGGTAGTCGAGTGCGGACGACGTCTTGTTGCACAGTTTGTCCTCCTCTCTGACGGCCGCGGACACTTGGCGCAGGCGGTGTCGCAACTTCACCAGCTTGGGATTGTCATTCAGTCGGCGGGAGCGGTGTCCTCTCCACAGAGCCTGCAGGTAAAGGCAAAGAGGTTTAAAAAAAAAAAAAAAACTTAAGTGAGGAACATTTTGTGGAACTAATCTAACTGGGAACTGACAAAACAATCATCTGTGATGCCAAACCCTCTGACTGCAGTACCTGAGCTTTGACAATCCCCTGCTGAACCCTCCTCTGGCGCCGGAGAAGGAGGAATTTCCTGGCGGCCTGCTGGATGACGGACGCAGCTCTGTGGCGACGGGCCAACCAGCACCTGACCGCTCGCTGGGCTGTAACCACCTTCCTCCGGTCCTCCAGATACCGTCTCCTCTGCTGCCTCGCTCTCACCCATCGCTGAAAAAACAAACAACACGGGAATCACCTCATGAAATACTTAATCCATCGTCTTATTTCAAATTTTAAATACATTTCTAATCGTTTCTGTGTTGAAATGTGACATCGGGAGCTTTTTGTCTGTACCTGTACGGTGACGACACAATGAATATGTCTCTTAGCCGACTCCAGAGCCCGGTGAGCTCTCAGCGCTCGTTGGATCTTCGTGGCACTGAGGTGATGGAAGACCGCCGATGTAAAGCGGAGCCTCCTCCCTGCCGCGGCCGCCTCCAGTGCCTGAAACACAACATGAGGATTGTAACCATGTTGTTGTTCGGACTTGTTTTCATGACAATGATGTCAAATCACATTTTTCTAAAGTTTTACTTCTATCCAGGCAGTTAGTATATAAAATAAATACATCCAGACATGTTTATTGTGATGGATTTATCGTTTTATATAAAAGACTGTCCAGTTCTACCAAACTGTGAACTTCAAATAAACTCCATTACCTGTCGTCTTGCAATCCAGGCTCTGCCGCATCTCTGAAGTGTGATGGCAGCTCGCCTCGTTCGGATGTAGTTGTTCTTCTCCTCTTTGCCTCGCTGAACAGCCCGAATCCTGCGCTGAAGTGTCACAGCGGCCTCCCTCTTCCTCTTGAAGATACGCCTCTGCACTGAACCTCTCCAGCACGACTGGATGATGGAGGCAGCTTGATTTTGACGGCTAATTTCCCTCCTGACTCTCCAGCCTCGAAGTGCAGCCTGGAGGACAACGGTGGATTGTTTCTTTTTCAGGAACATTTCTCTGTCTGTCTTCTGAAGAACACGGGAGCGGTAGTGTCTCTGGATGATGATGGCGGACAGTCTCATGGCCTGGAATTTGACTTCCTCTCTGTGTTTTCTGAACACAGACTGAATCACGGTGGCGGCCTGATGCCAGCGAGCAACTTCCTGTCTGACCTGCTGACCTCTGTGAGCTGCCTGAAGGATGACGGCTGCCCTGCGCAGCTCCAGGTAACGTGTTCGTTGTGCTTTAGCTGTGACGGTTGCCCGATATTTTCTCTGAATGGTGAGGACGGACAACTTAAACTTCAGATAGTTCCTGTGCTC